ATTGTTGTAGTGCACCTACGAGTGCATAGTAGTATAACTTCGTATGCAATTACGAGTGCATAGTACAAAAATAAATAAATAAATAAATAAATAAATAAACATCCTTGGAGTTGTTTTTGATTGTTAACTGCTGTTTTTGGCCGCAGATCGCCTTGCGAATGTTTCACAAGACTGCTGGGTTGTGAAACATCCTTGGAGTGATTTTCAGCGATTCGTGAGGCACTTCTGATGCTACAGACTCCTGGTGCATAGAAGCAGGAATGAGAGATGGTGGAAGTTCGGATGTCCTGCGTTTAAGCTGTGCACGTTTTGAAATGACGCCAATAACGATTGACTAACTACATTATCTTTGTGCACCTTTCGTACATCTGGTGCGACTTGCATATTTTTCTTGAGGTGAAAACTGTCTGTCTCAAGAAAAAAAGGATATTCACGATGATTGGCACGTTCTTCAAATACTCCAGCGAGATTGCGGTCGAAACCGGATCAGGAATCTGATTTGAATTTCTCGGCAGTTCTTCAGAAGTTTCTTTGAACTTCTCTCATGCATATTCAGGAAGGCAGGATATAAACGCGAACATGCGCGGAAATTTGCATGTTCAGCATGGCCGTAATGGAACACTGAAAAAACCGCTTTTCTTTCTGTTTTTCTTGAAGTGAGGAATGTTGCCTTCAGATCACTTTTCGACTACCTGCTGCGCAAAACTTTGAGTAAAATGATCGAAGTGCTTTTCCAGTGCCAAGTTTAGCAAGGCAAAGATCAAAGAACGCTCCCAGTTCATTGGTGCTTTTTTCTTTTCATGTTCACCCTCTCAAGGGATTTCGAGAAGCTGCTAGAAGTTCCTGTACATTTGTTTTGAATAAAAGGAATAATAGAATAGAGAGTGGGCCACGTATTCTACTTTAGCTGTCAATCGTAGGAATAATTGAGGATGCATTTGTCGAATACAATGCTATAAGTAATGGAACGATCGCCTATCAAATGCCCTTAGCCTCATAGATGTTGGAGCAAGGCACGCTATGCCTTGAGGCTGAATGCCTCGCTTGACCTGATTCTAAGATGATTACTTTTGAAGATGAGGTGCCGATGAACTGATGAAGTATAAGTGAGCTTTTGGCCATTTATGTAGAAGTCATTGTGCCGAGAACCCTTATTTCATATACATATTATACTATTTCGTACGGTGCCGCGGTGAAGCACCGTCAGTTTGGACTCACCAAAACAACCGTTTTCGGGCCAAGTCTTAGATCATGGCGCAAAACATTTGGGCAAGACCTCGACATAACATGGGAAGATGATTAGAGTCCCCGAATAGCGCAATCGAGGCTGCACTCGAGGTTTGGACAGAGTGAATGCTAGGTACCTCAACAGTAGACAGCTTAGACGCTTCATTGGCGAACAGCAATAGAAGAAATATTCGCAAGCTGAATCAGGTCGCTCTAGAAGCCAGGAAAGCCCCGTCTCCGTGGGCGGCAGGCTTGAATCTCTCTTATGGAATCTGATGCATCCTCGCTGCCGTGGATTAATTCCAAAAAGTTTATCTGGCATAACTGGCCGTATGGTGTTTTTAATTTCTTCACAGTGAGAACGGAGATGGCCATAGTCAACGAGATTCTTCGGTTATTACGCGTGGCAGCAAGGTTATTTTCAGCAGACCGCTCCAATCATGCAATTCGATCGTTTCGCTCGTTCCAACGAAATTCGCCGATTGGAATCTCAAAGCCGCATAGAGCGAACACACGGTCATTTTCGGCGCAAACGCTAGTCACTTTTTAGCTAACATGCGATCGTATCTAACTCTGAGGTTGCCTTGAAGATGATTTGTATCTGTGGACATTAGTCCTTAAAGGTCAAATCGGTATATTGCCCGATACATTCCTTCGAGCAGATGTCATTACTGATTTACTGCAAGGGAATTTTCTACCTTCGCAAGATCCGAGTGAAAAAAAAACTTCTTATTTACAAGAGTAAGCAAAACTTACAGAACTTGGGAAAAAGGTAATTGAAAAAACGAAATGGTTCTGCTGGATTCGTGCCCCAGTAAATTCGTAGCTGGGACATAGTGCACGTCTACCAGCTTTTTGGGCAGGAATTAGTAAGGATCTTCGGGGACAAATAACTAGCTGACTAACCTATTGATAGACTACAAATATGTCTACCGATATTATGATGGGTGCGTTGCAGTACTCTCTCCTGAGATCAGGTCACCTCAAAAAAGCACATCTCTGATTTGCTCGTAATAAGCTTAGGACCAAGCCCAAGCCTGACCGTAGGCTTTAACACACGCCAGCGCGACAATCATAAAGGCTAACCCTGAGCTCAGCCTAAGCCTAGCCTTAGGCTTCAATCACTGCGCAGCTCTCGTGAAGAAAGAAAACTGAACGTTTCCTAAGATTCATTTCCACTTCGTAAGCTGAACTCATGATACTTTTAAAGTGTAGACAGACGGAAGCATTCACCAATCCCTGTTCGGAAAGGATTCCTCGCATTCCGACCTTCCATAATATGTGGCGACTGTGTACACGACTTGGTCTCCCATGAAATATGTTTCGCACTAAAGATGTATAATAAACTGGTCATCCTGCCCATACGTACACACTTGGTAACGCAGTTGATTGCGCATCGGCCGAAGGGAATGGGTAGTTTGACTCGCTAGGGTAGGGTTCAATATAGGACTGGAGTCCCACTTGTGTGCACGATAAGCGGTGATACTTGCCCCTGCACCATCTCGGACTATCCCCTTTATTAATATCGCCGGTTATTTACAGAACCCTCCTTGGTTCTTGGTTTCCTATTTTTAAACCGTTAATTTTTGATTTTAATTTAACGGGTCCAGCAATTAAATGATGGATTCTGGATTTTCAAGTGTGGGAATGATCCTTTCATTTACTCTCTGTCAACGTGCTATTCTCTCGTAGAACGAGTGGCGGGTGCTGTCAGTGTTTATCGTGATATCACTTGATAGTGTCGGCTTTTTTGTGACGGAAATCGCCACCCGCTGCGCTGAGCGTGTTGCAAGAAACGGACGTCGCCGTCACCACCGCGCTTGCGCTGCGGGGATGATCCCGCTCGTATATGTCTGTGCTTATGATTACGGAACGGGTTCCCCCCGTGCACGCACAGCCGACTCCGCAGATGGATGATAAGGACGCAATCCTAGAACGATCTCGAGTCTATGTGGGTGCGTAAAAACCCGTATGAATGCGTATACTGATATTTGCATTGATGAGCGCTATCGTGATTGTGGGCTAGATATCGGTCATAGACCACAGGACTAGCATCTAGGCTTCGGAAAGGTGATGATTGTGGTTGCAATTCCAATGGGACCATCGAAGCTCCATTGGTTTTTTCTAGAACGTGGTCAACCCTTAAAAAAACCCCTGAAGACACGAGTTGAAAAACCATTTTTGGGCACAACATCGGGTTTCGATCACTTTATTCAGTTTACTTTGTATGTACACCGCAAGGGTAGCAAAAATAAGAAAATGTGTGAAATAACCAGCGTTCACTCATAAAAGCAAACACATAACAGATAACAACCTCCTCCCTTCAACCTCCCCCTTCCAGCCCCAAAAGAAATTAGGGAAACCGTCGATGGCCTGCTAACCAATCGCCCAGTTCTGTGAGAGCCCATATTTTCTAGGAATTTTCATGTTCGGTTGCTTCAGTAATAGAGCATCTTTTGAAATCTGAAAAAAAAACTTATTAGAATTGAATGTAGACCTACCCAATTTTGTGCTAACAACAAGGTCTCTCCTGTAGGAGCCGGTGGTGCCACCACCAACGGTTTTGAGCACGATTCCTACCCTAACGCTGTTTTTAATATTTGATGGATCAAAATGAAAAACAGCGTATCTCCAAGTGGACCACACCCTCACGCGAAGAAGAGCCACTTTGTTCAAAATACTCAGTATTTTTCTAAACTTAGCCTTGTCACACTATATTTTTTTGCTGGAAATCAATACATTCACTAACAGTGACGAAATCATCAAAGGGATAGTAACTGAGCTGAGGGAAAAATATGAAAAAAATGCTGAGATACCCACAAAAGAGCGACCGTAAAACGGCTTAAAAAATGTACAACCTGAGTTTTCGTAATTCTCACTTAGAGAACAGTAGCGACCAAAACGACGTTCTTGAGGAATTTTATTTCAATCCGACTTTACTATTCAAATTTCAGTGTTCAAACGCGGGCAATCGATGGTTCTGATAATGAAGCTCAACAAAGCGATGGAAAATTCAAAATTTGTAAGTTCCTTTTTGACCGTCAAATCTGTGATTACTCATGGTTTCCACAGTTTGATACTGATGGTTCTCGGATGCGTTTCTCTGCAGAATTTTCAGATCTTCACCGTAAATTACCGCTAAGAAATCTAGTGATAAGATAGATTAGTATAAGAATAGGATTAGATGATAGAAAAGTAGCAAGATAGGATGATAGATATATAAAATAAATAGACTTAATTGTTGCAGGAAGACGACGGACAGACATGTGCGATTTTCGTTGCTGAAATTTTTCTCGAATTTCCACTTTTTTTTCTTAGGAACATTCCTCTCCTGCAAGCATTTCTCGCCCTTTAACTTCATCGTGTAGACAGCAGTAGTGAGCTCTAACACAGAGCGCTCTTATGTACATATTGAGTCCTCTCATCTGTAAAATTTTGTTACACACCCGTTGGGGTTTAATCAATAGGTCAGAAGAAGCTCTTGAAAAAGGCGAAGAAGAGTGTGACCATTTGCAAGCCGTATTCTCACTATAGACCTGCCCTCAAGCGTGTCCCTCAGCTTCCACGCATTTGTTTTTTCTTTGGATAAATGAAGAATGAAAAATGCCCCCATTTGCTTGGAAGTGAATGTGAAAGCGAAAAAACTTGAGGTGGCGTAGAGAAGCCTTTAAGACCATTCACAAAGCTTGAAAAACACGACTTGCTTTCAGATGTCGGAACAATAGACGGAGTTCGGCGAGAGATCTACAACGAGGTTGAGGGAGAGGGTAATAATGCACGTGAGTTCATTACTTGAAATTCTTTAAGCTAATCTTAAAAAAAGACTTGTTTTCATTTCTTCGATAATCAGACTAGGTCTAGTGTCTACCTTCAGACCGTGCGTCATGACGAAAGCCTAAGCAAAATCAAAATCATGAGAAGTAGGGGTAGGGGACATATGGCTTCACCAGAGACTTTTTGCTATGTACTTGTTCTACGTGGGTAATTCACAAGGTGGCTGAAACTAGCTATACAGCCGACTGAATAGGTGGATGCGTTGAAAGTATGAGAATCACTCGTCCATAGCGTGTTCATATCTGATAATTATCAGCAGAGTGATCTACTAACCGAGGACGAAGCTGTGCAGTTTAAAACTAGTAGTGATAAACATACACTGTGTAAAATATCTAACAAAATGTTGTGACAATCTTCAGTCTCTCAAAATTGGTGCGCATGCTCCATTTATCGAAGGAATTTCAGCAGACAATATACCAAATCCATCGGACCCATGGAGCGCCTATGATGACAACACGATCATTGACACCGAAGACGGTTCGTTTCCTATCAATATTTCAAATTCTGTATAATTATATATTAATGAGGCCCAGTAAGGCATTGGACTAGAAAGCTCGCATATGTCTGCATTCGCTATGCGAGTACTGTTCGAAGAACTAGGTGGTTGTAAGCATACAGTTTGAACCGATGAAGAAATGGAGGATGAGGTGAAGGCTCTCAAGGTGACCTCTGTGCTGAGCATATCAGTCTTCTGATAGGGCGGCGTTGAAACCTACCATATGCGAGCTTGCAATTGACGTCATTACAAAAAAAGACCACCTGGGGAAATTTACCAAGTGCAAAGCGTAGGCCAGCTAAGCCCTAACTACCAGAAAGTAATCTCATAAAAAGAAATCCCCTTCCAGTTGAACCTGCCGGTTGTTGCTTTTAAGTGCACTGTTACCGCAAGGTTTCTCGGCTCTCAAGCAGTAGGAGAGGAGGAGCATTTTGGCGCAAACAGCCCAAAATAGAGCGCCAAGTGTGTCAAATAATAAGAAGCAAATTCTTCAACAACAAACTTCCAGAAGACGTAATGCTAACCTAGTCTTTTTTAAACAAGTGATTCACCCACCATAGAGCTTCGCCCCTTTCCAAAATTAAACTCAGAAGGCATCACTGACCGAAATGAATACTCTCCACTGCAGAGGCGCCAAATTTTCCTCCAATCTGATGCCAATTTTCAGAGAAAAATCTTTTCGTGCCAAAACCATACAGACCAGGCAGCAAAGAAAAGTCAACCACAACAACAAGGTGAGTCAATCTGTTGCGAGAAGAGACTTTAGAATGCGAAGGATTCTGGTTTAGAGTTGAACAGTTCTTGTTTGGGATTGAACTTGAAGCAAATGATCTAAATTTAAATCATTCTATGCGCTAACACTTTTATGGTGGATTTGCACACTCCCGAGATATAATGGTGAGTGAGGAGGCCTGGATTTGAAGCTTATACACCCTGAACTTTTTCCCAGCACGGCACTTTTTGCCACGAAAGCGAGTATTTTCAATTATAGCAGAAAGAATAGCTGTGTTCAGTTCTAAACGCAGAAAAAAACCTCTGACAACATTCGAAAAGAGGAGGAATCAGTTCACACTCCCACCGCTACGTGTCCTCGGCTACTTGATCTATTCGATTGAGCCCAACTTAGTGGCTGACATGGTTTCCCATGGGAACAACAAGTCTAGTGCTCCAGTTTTTCATCTAGGAACCGAAAGACTTCAAATAGTGATCACGAATGCATGCACTAGTCATTGGCTACCCTTTCAGGCCTCATATCACCGCTCCTCCAACGACAATCCGAACAATTCCTTTCGTCCAAACGACGCCAGCTCCTCGACAACCTATCCAGTGAGTTTTTTGACATCCTTGATTGAGGTACTGCCACTTTTGTTGGTAGGTTGTGAGAATAAAAGAGCACCTCCGTAATACCTGAGAGAATAAAACAGCTTTAGATAAATCGAGATAAAGTGCACCACATACTTCCGCCTACTCGTCCAATATCCTCAGTCTCATTTCAGCGACTAGTGATTGTTCTGGTCGTTGAAATATGAAAAATGCGTTACTGTGACAGCAAATAATGAATTGAGTTCACCCTGCCTTAGAGTCGTTTCAAACAAATCAATGACGTCAGCCGGACTCCGCGTCTCGCAACCACGTTCGTTGCTAAACGGCCCCCAAGGTTTTGACTATGATGGTCGCAAACCGTCTTTCCGAAATTCGAAAAAATGTCTCTGTTCATAGTGACTGGAGAGTGGGCAAGGTGTGGGCGGAGAAGGAAGGGGACGTAAACATAAATAAAAAACGGTAAATACCCTGATTTCGCCCACTTCATTTTTCCTCTTCTTCGTGAAATTCGTGCAAAATTTCATCAAATTTGTCAGAAGATCCGTCCAAAAGGGATCCTTCTACTACATCTTCTGCTGTGATCTTGCATGTAAAAGTTATTGGTGGTCGTAACTGTAAATAGAGGTAGTTTATTTTTGTAAAATCGACGCTATTTTCACGTCAGATTAGCATTTCTAGAACTTACATATAAGAAAAAAATTATGCTGCCAAAGTGATTTTGAGCTATTATATTAATCCTACCAGGTCTTTGCTGGCCAGCTCCATGCGTCACACTCCTAATAAGGGGACCACTTTTAATTCCACCTCTACGCTTGCCATCAATTCTCGCTTTGTTTGGAGGCGTCTCGAGAACGCGGCAAGTTTCAGGACAGATCAGGGCGGGTGGGAATGCCAATTGGTCGGGGTGGATGAGAATGTCAGCTGGTCCTAACCAAAAGCTATAAATTGACCATGATGGTGAGAGTGGCTTTGGGGTGGTTGAAAGCGTGTTGGGATCCCCTTAAGAGGGCATTGTCGTAAAAAATTCCAAATCGGCCGCGCGCCAACGTTTTGACAATTCCTGCTCCGAAAAGGGTTAATGTCAACTAGAGCTTAATTAGTACTAGCTCCTTTAACACGTTGACGACATTGTGCAGCGCATGCGCATCACACCTTGAGCACCGTGTGGGACCGTGTGCAGCGCATGCGCTGCACACACAAAATATTATTTTTTTCGCGCATGCGCTACTTCTTTTCTAATTTTTTGCATCTATTCATAGACTACACCATAATATGACTAGACACGGCGAGGTTCATTGAATGGTTGAATATGCTCCTTTTTAGCGAAGGTTTTCTAAGCCCTACGAATTTCCCAATTGTGTTCATTCCTAGTTTCCTTTATATTCTGATAATCTTGGTCATAAAAAAGAGCAGTAGAAGTAAGTACAGACCCACACATATAGCAAGACATATGTTTTTAGTGGAGCAACCGCGCCAAAAATAATTTTGAGGTTCACTGCAGCAAAAGCAACTGAAACTTGCCTTTCATCGCCAGAAAACGTCAATTAGATCGATTTTTCACAGCTGTCCCTTCTGATAAGTTTGACACATCGAATATCATTCTAAACATTTTGTTGCATCCGAGTTTTGGGTATTTAAAGCTCAAAATTCACGGATTTGATGTGAGGCGGCGGCGCCTGCAAAATCGCCGTGGTCCCACGCGGTGCAAAAACCCAAAACGCGCGTTGTCGTCAACGTGTTAAAACTTATGAACTTGTAACTACTTCGCAAAAAGCAAGAGTTAAGTGCAGTATGTTTTATTTTGATGCCATGGGAACAGGCAATTATAAGAACACTTCTGAAAGTAATTGGAAAATCTTCGTACTTGAGTTCATCCACTTCAGATCGGTGCAACAGAATCAATTCGGACGTCAACCTACCCCCCCTGCTGCACCACCACGTGTCGTTCCTACGCCACCACCAAGGTTAGTAATTTGAAAATTTTCCACTAAAAACATTTCAGAAATAAAAACGATTGTCAAGAATAACATGAAAGTTCGATTTCAACGCCATAACTATAAATTCAAATAAATAGTTTAAATTTCAATAATGTACTACTCGTAAAATGTAGTAGTTACTTAATAAGAATCATAAGAATTTTAGCGGAATTATATCTCAGGACATGCGAAAGACAAATAGAGATGAAGCTCGTCATTTCCTGAGTAGGTGTAGAATTGCTAGCGCCAGGAAGAAAGAGAAAAGAAAAAAGGAAAAAACGAAAATGTCCGAGCCATATTTTCTGAACAAACCTTGGTATACATTTACTTGGTGCTACAGATCTTACAGATCTATAGCAGTACCCCAAGTTTGTAGAGCCGCACTTCTCCATCTTCCTTTCGCCCCTCCCCTTCCCCTCGCACTTCAAAAATCACATTGGCACACATTTTGGAATTCAAGCGCTTATGAAAAACGGATCTCACCGAACATTTTGTTCAACGATTTATTAAGAAGACTGTTTTTTGAAAAGCGCTAGACGTCTTCATTGATCTCTCGGGGCTCTGAGAGTTGCAGCCAGCTCTCCTCGCAAGGTTGGAGGTGGAAAGCAATAGAAACTCGACAATCTCATAAAATTAATTCTGGTACCGATGCCGTAAAAAACAGCTTCTATGGGTTTTCTGAGGATCTTTGAAGCACTATACGCCAGACTTTGATTTATTGCGTATTAATTTCAGGCAACCCCTGCCTGTTCAACCTCAAGTTGCACCTCAACCTCAACCGCATCTGCCTCAACAACCTCAACCACTTCGGCCGAGAACCAGGTACAGCAAGCTTTGAACAGAAACAAATCTGCCTCGCTTTTATCGACATCATCTCATGTCTGCTTATTCCATTCAGGCGCCCACCTATTCGACCTCCTACACCTGCACCATTCCAACCTCAACAGCAAAACTTCAACGTCCAACAGTCGCTTCAAACACCACCGCCACAAGTTCAGCAGCCTTTCCAAAATCGACAGCCCCCATTCGTCCCACAACAACCTCAATTCCAAACTCAACGACCACAGCAGTTCCCACAACAGTTCCAAACACCTCCACCGACTACACCTGCACCCACAATTGCCATTTGCAAGCCAACAAAATCTGCGAACTGGAGGTACGTCTGAGCACAGCCATCCAAGTTTTACGAATTGCTTCAGAAGTGAAGAACTTACGCAGATTTGCTAGAAAGGCTTCTGTTTTCACCACTTAATCTACACCGCTTTGCAAATGTCCCCAGATTTGAAAATGGGGATCAATCTGCTGGTAGAGTTCCGCCATACCTCAAAAGAGGCCCTCATAAATCACAGTACTGGTGAGCTTGAGAGATGGCTATTACGGTACCGCACCCTTCCCTCAAAATGCAGTCTCTGCGGTCTTGCTCTTCCGAAATTCTGGAACCTTTTGTCGTTAAGATCGCACGTGCCTTTCGTAATGTTCCAATTTATAGATAGAACCATTATTTCGATATGAAAATAGTATATTCAAACTTTGTTTTATTATAGTTTAACTTAGAGTTAATAATGATTTTTACTGACAAACTGTATCTGTGAATAAAAGAGGTTTCGAAATCGTAAGAACTGGTTTAGTGTGCCCCATGTCGATCTTCTACATCTCAACACCGATCAGTGGACCAACGCGGCTTTCTTTCACTCACTTCGCCATCGCCGTCACTGTCGACCAGTGCGCACGAACATGCCACGAATTCAACTGTGCGGTGAGTTGACCTTTCGTTCCCCTACCAGTCCTGCTATACTGATGGGCCTAAAAAGGCGGACGACTAGAAGACAGAGGTGATCAGTGGTGCCAGGATGAAGAAAAAACCATGAGAAATGGTTCAGAGCCGGAGCCATAGAACACCTTCCTTGCCCGTTGATTTCCACACTCTGATATTTGATGCTACTCTCATAGATGTTGCCTTTTTCAAGGCTCTCTATCCTCTAAGCGACTATATACCTGCAGCGAATGGTTAGCCAGTCGGTAGGCATTCCGCGCCGATAGCGCTGCGGGAAGGGCTATGCTAGACTGTCGAGGCATATCCTTCGCTGCGAAATGCGTGCCGTACGGATCGCGTCCGCCACCTTGGGGTCCGCCTGGTTTCCACTGGACAGGTTTCCCTTTTTCGACCTTCGACCTTGTAGTGACTCCTCCTGTAAAAACTGAGTATTCTTGGCTTTCATAGACCGATTAATGAAATCTTTTTTTATGAAAACCCTGCTATGACCATGATGCATAGTGAGAAGTTCAATCTCGCTCGAATTGTTCTCCATAAATCAGCAACGGAAACCCATCTCTGCCGGAGATCTCTTCTAAAAGTATATGCCCTATTATTGACACCGGTGGGCGTAACCAGACTGGGACGGTTATCGGAGAGTTCTGCCATCCTTAAAGCAACAATCCAGGAACGAATTCGCGGGTAAGGACCACCTATAATGACGTTGCAGGTGAGAAGTTGGTCAATGGAGAAAGAAAAAGTAGAAAAAAACGTCGGGCAGGGGCTTAGACAGGGACTCCCCCTGCCGTTTAGGGAGACGTGTGTTGGACGAGTTGTCCGAACCTGCCCGTAGTACATGCGCTCCAATTGCAACTGCTGGCAAATAGCTGCATGCTTGCAAATACATAACTATTTGCCAGCAATCGAAATTGAAGCGCTTCAATTGCGTTCTTATGGAATCGACCTCATACAGCGCGGCGGTCCCGCAACGACCGCTAGTCAAGCACGGACTCTGCACAGCGTATGTTGAGCGATCCGCCTCGGTATGAGTGATCCGCCCCTCCAAGAGGAGCTTCGCAGGAGAATTTTACAAGGAAAGCCTTAGCTATTATACTCTTGGAACGAAGGGAAAACCATGTGAAACAGCCCGGAACTTTTGAAGCTTATGTGACCTTTCCCTTGCCTTGGTGATGTTGGCCATTGATGCGACCTCTCATCGGCTGCTGCCCGCTTCAACGTCCGGACCTGTCTCCCATCTATACGTTTTTGCCCTTCTTTGCCCTTCTTTCTGATCGTGAATTCCTCCTCCAAGTTCTTTTCATCATCCACGGGAATGAACGGTATTTCAATGGTTGACGAAAAGACCGACCCATGTCGCTTGCAAAGCTGCACAGCTGCCACTCCAGCTCCTTGACTTGGTTTCCAAACACATCAACACCATCTTGGACGTTTTGCCAATAACTATTAACGTGATTTAGATTGCCCACTACAATCCTACCAATGGACACTGTGAATTCAATCCATCAACAGCATTCGCCATCCGGAATGGACAGTGCCCCGCTTGGCCAAGCTTGCATTACAGGTGAATAGTTGGATTAGATCATAATGTGTCTTCTCAAATATCGGCTCTGTAAGGATTGCTACTTTGGGGGATACTATGCCATATACATGAGGTTATCCGAGGATCCATATGTACCAGGCGTATTATTGGGGAAGACAAGACTCAAGTGCAAGTGGAAGTTAGCTTTATCGCGCTAGTCGATCTTTTTATCCAACATTCAGGAGAAATATGCATGACACTAACCACTTCCTTTTTGAAATGGCTACGTATCTGATTATCAAAATCTCAGTGATTTTCGGAGGTTGAAGCAAGTAGTGGGTTGAGTGGACCAGTGGAGGTTATTATTCCAACCAACCCCGGCTAGGGAAAGATTTAAAACTCGCTTAGCCTGAGCGAGATTTGAGCCGCTATTCAATCCGTACCAATGGGCGATTACGCCGATAAAGCCGCCCCTCATTACCTAACCATTCACGCCACAGTAACTGCAAAGCAGGAGACTCGCAATAATGATGGCTAATGTCGCAGTTCACCTTCGCTGATCTGCGCGTACCGTTTCTGGTGCACTTTTAAACTGTGATGTTGTAATGTAGACATACAGCACCTTCAAAATGGCAGCTTCTTTTGACATTTTGGGAACACCTGACAGCTTCTAGAAGGTTTCGCAAGGCTTTTGAAGACCAATTTTTCAAGTATTCGTTAGAAACTTCTGTGAAAATTCTAAAACACAGGTACGCTAGCTGCGATGCTCCCTGCGAAACAATCGCTTTCGAATTCATTTTCGATTTCTAAGCCAAACATTATAGAAACAACGTCGTTGCGAGTGAACCAGTGCGAATCTTCTGCGTGACATGTCAACGACCACGTCGACGACAAAACCGGCAGCGAAACCTCGGACTCAGGTAAGACTCATTCCATGAATATTAACGAATAAGAACCGATGAGTTGCATTTCTGAAGTGAAGATTAATAAATCGCTCTAGGCAACGAGCAAAAGATCCTCGCCAAGTGCCCAACTCCCGACGAGGGGCTATTCGATCACACAGAAACACGAGAATTACTCCCAACAGGTGATTACATTTTCTGGCCAAAAATTCCACTTTTCTCCGGGATTCCTGCTCAGTTGTTCCGACGGTCATGGAATAGCTCTACAAATAGACAATAAAGGAACATATGACATGAATGAATGAGGCATGACCTATGTACAAAAGCAGATCCCTCGCTGTAGCAACATCATTAGGCCCTAAACT